CCACCACTATAGATCGACGATCTGACTGAAACTCAGCAGCAGATACTGGACCCTTGGCCTCTCTCCGGACAAGGCCCCGAGTTTCTTCTGGCCAAACGTGTTTGGGCTGATATGTCTCCATTTTGAGTCATCAACCATTGAAACGAAGTAGAGAGAAACGCAAGGTTTGGGGCCGGCAAGGCTCCTTATAATGGCCGTCCTCTTGAGTTGATTTTCTGATGACTTTCCCGCAAGGCCGCCTCATGTGAGATTTGACATAAAAGCTCGCATGACACGTCGACGACCAGCTCTTCGGTAGAGGTTTAACGGCAGTCCTTCAATAAATATTCAGTCCATTCACAATGCGAGTTACTTCAGACACTGAACAACACCGTTCGAGAAAGTTGCCTGAAAATTAAACATCGATGCTGAGTGGGACGAATACGAATGGGACGGCTTTGTGCGTCGCCGGGTGACGGAGCGTCCAAAGTTCAGAGTCGAGGCATGGTGCCTGAGAACGAAAATGTCCAAATGGCAGACATATGGCTTTGCCAGCCGATAGCGGGCTCACGACGATTTGTGCACATTTGTATCGCGCTTCCTTGACCACACACTTGCCAATAAAGGACTTTACATGGGTATGATTGGACTGGAGCACAGGTTTCTTTATGCGTCTTTCACTTTACATCTAGTGCATATCATGTCGTACCCTGGGCCGCGCTGCACATTGGACAAAGGTAACTAAGGATCATCCTGTGCGGAGAAAGTAGAAAGAACAAACATTAAAAAGAAACAGAAAGAATAAAACGCGTCGTTCATTTTACTACCTCTCTCCGGGTCCAAAAAGATCAAGAGGCTGACGCCAGATGCGACGTATGGTTAGGTGAAGGTTACAAAGGTTAAGATACCGACCTCCTATTTTTATTAGATATATTTTAGTTTATATGATTGACTAGCAGTCTAGTAGAAGATGAGACTTAATAATTGACCGTACAGTCTGTTCTCTATATAACAAGGATCACCAGATTACATATGTTCTATCATAGGTACAGGGGTGAGGGTAGAGAATGATGAGATGGTTGGATTCTGTATCTCGGAAGCCTACCTTATTGTGCGGTGCAATATATACAGACACCAGGGTCCAAGCCCATCTGACAGGAAAATTGACGAAGCAAGTCCATGGTCTGGGTGAGATTGTGTGCGTCTATTCATGTGCCGGGCTCCAGACAATGTGATTAATCAGAGTATCCAGTAGACGCAGTACTGTGGAAAGATGCATCATTGTTCTAAACTATTAGCAGCTCCTTGAGTTGAAATTCAGGCAGCTGGAACTTGGTATCCCACTCATGCACAAACTGCCACTCCCACTCATCACCATCATTCGAGGCCACAACAACAACCAATGTGCCCTTAGCTTCCCCCTGATACGGGAACGGCTTGGGAGGAATCGCAGCTCCAGAACTCAATCGCTCTCGAAGGGCGGGCAGCAAAAGAGCAACCCAGCGATACCGTTTAAGGAGCGGTGCAATCACGGATCGAAGGTTGAGAAGACTCCTCAGATCCATCTTTGAGTTTGCACCTTCGTTGTAGATCTTATAGTAAGCATCAAAACGGGACTTGGCCTCATAAGTATACAACGAGTACCAGATCGGAAGAGCTTTAGCACGGCGGATCGGGCACATAAGCCATTCCGCTTTGAAGCCTTCTGCAAGGATTCGACCGGCTACGCTGTTCTGACCATCAAAGGCGGGATATTGCTTCCCATCGGGTGTGCCGGCCGTCGGGGGCAGGAGATTTGGGCGTGATGGCGCCCAGCTTAACCCACGGCCCTTGAGCCGCGGGGCACTAGACACGAGAAAGCCGGTTGCTAGTGGTTGTCCCACTGTTAACTTCCAAAAATCCACGGCCGTCTTTACTACCTTGTTCGAGCTGCAGACCAGATTCCAGATCATGATCACGTCTCGGTCCTTGGTGGCATGTCTGTGGTTCAAGAGGCAAGTGGCTTGCTCTGTCGTGACGGCTTCTTGCTCCATGAACTTGTAATGCTGATTTTGGGTAGGGGTGTAGTGTTGAATGGCTAAGCATGGCGATACAAATGCGAGACTACTTTGTGATAAGACGTCGGAGAGAACGTCCACCAGGGAGACAACATGATTGTTTTTGCACAGTATGTGAAGCTTCAATCGCCCTCGCATTCCTTCGAGAAGGGTCCATGCACGAACATTCCAGTCGCAAACAACGATTGTTGCTAATATGGCCTCCTTCGCCTGTAGAGTCGGTGGATTGATATCAATCTCCATGAGGTCTCTATCGACAAGCAAAGTAACCTTGCTATTGATGAAGTTGCTATTTATCTGGGCGATCGCCTCGTCTCGGAGCTTGTCATCCGTTGGAATACAAGGCGTGTCCATCCAGTAAGACGTGCATCCAAAGGATCGAGCCAGTGCGGTATATCTCCGGTGGAGGCATATGTTGAACCCAGTCTCAGGTCGGCCCCCTTGCCCGTGACTCCATACATGAGATATAGCCATAGTCTGATTAGATATGGGACGATATCGAATGGATTTCTCATCAGTCTCCTCCAGACAGACTGCCCTCGCCCCGTTGATGCTCCTGTAAGACTGCTCATCCCAGATTAAGAAACTGCAAGCGGAACCAGGACACTCGAAATCGTGAGCAGATTGAATCTGGACACCCTCGGACTCGAATCTCTGGCAGTTTCCCGGCGCTTTGCCGTCACACAACCTTGACCTACCACCTCCAGCAGCAAGATTACAGCGGGGCGCACGGTCGCCAAAGTGAAGTTCGTAGATCTCAAAGAGTCTCCTGAAATCCTGAGTCACCGAGCTGAGATCGGACCGAAGCAGCTCAAACGCCCATTTGCACATATATCTCGGTCTCGAACGCGCAACGATCTCTCGCCCCGGCATCACCGAAGGAATCTCTCTGGATATAAGATGATTGTGTCTTTCAAACGAGTAGCCCAGTTTCAGCTGTCTTGTGGCGTCGTACCAAAGCTGTAACATCACGGTCTGATGCCATGCTGCCCACAGAAAAGCCTGCACGACGAACCAAGCTTGTGCATCAGCCTTAGTTGTTGAACGTCGGCAAAAGTCTGTTACGGCGTCAAGAAAGCTGACTATGGTATCTGAATAGGCGCTGGTAAGTGTGAAGGCCCCGCTCCGTTCCATCACTAAATACAAAGCAATGCGGACGACGTTCGTACTTGGTCTGGAAAGAACCCGAAGATTTGTCCACATATATCTACTCTGAGACTCCTCAGGCTGACCCGTAACGGTAGGGTATGCGCGAAAGTACTCGACTGGCCATGCACTGTCCAGGTCTGACTGAGCGCCCTTGCTTTCATACTGAAACTGCAGTTCAGGGGGCTGTGGGGGCAGACGGGCCAGCAAGGCACACGTTTTGCCTACAATATCATCCTTCGTTAGATCTCTTTTGTCGACCAGGAAGTTGCAGGTAACCAGTGTTGAAAACATGGCATCGAGCCGCTCAAGGTGTGACCCTAGGTCCCCATTTTTTGGATCCAGGAGAGCAAATGCATCCCGACACCACTGCTCAATCCGTGCCTTTTTCTGTGCCATGCTGATCAACTCATAGTTCCCAGCCTCGCCTGTCTCGCCAAACTGCATGAACCTGAGCTCGATGGGAAGCAATCCAGACCCCGTTTCAGCTGGATGGTAGGTATTCTGGTCGAGAATAGCAGAGACCTGGGTCCTGCTCAGAGCCCAGTGGGGCTGGACAGCTAACTCTGCCATGTTATGTTTCAGAGGCTTTTTCCTTTTCGTTTGCTCTCCGCGTCCCACACAAGCTAAACTGACAAACTGCGAAGCAGCGCGTAGATTCCGTAGTGGTCGGCACGAGTGACAATGTTCGTATACATTTGCGAGTCGACGTGGGTAGGTAAGCTGTAAGCAGAGGGGCCGTGTAGCTGCTTTAAGTCACGGACTTAAGGGTTAGTAAATTTAGAGCGAACAGTTAATACCCAAATTTTGTTGGCGTCCAGGTAGTGGCCTATTATTTTCGTTAACTCAGCTGACGGCGGTCCAGCTGAACAACCACTATCCTCGGCCAATGAACATTGTTCACTTAGCTCATGCAACAAAATTAAATATATACTATTCCAGAAAGGATCTAAGGAAGCATAGAGCGTTTTATCCTTGTCTACGTATAGAGCGGTCCGCTGGTTAGCTATAACATTCGAGGTTCTCGTTGCGGTTCAGGTTCTCCGTATGCGGGCCACAACTAGGCAGATAGCAACATTTAGAAATCTCATCACTTCTGTAGAGATTTCAGGGAGCGCTTGGAGATCAGTAACTCTATTTCAATGTTAGGTAGCCTAGTTCTTGGTGCTCCTAGACCATTCTCTGAATGTTTCAATACTCGGCCTCTTGGGTACAGTGGTAGAGTGAATATCGCTATGTTGGAATGTTGATTACACATATGATTTGATTCCCTAATTCTGCAGGGAAGGTATTCGAATGATTCTCTTGAAGACGCTTACTGGGTTCAACGGGTGCAAACCTGTGTCAGGCTGCTAAGCGCTCGTTCCTCTGGAAACGGAGCTTACTGGTCTGAGCGTGAGAGCATAACAGTCTGAGCCTACCCTACCGCAGAACTCTGCACTACTGGCGACTAGAGTCTATTAGGACATAGTACGCTATAATGATGGAAGTTCTGCGTTTCTCATTGGTATTGCGTTAACGAGGTTGGGGGCCGAAACTGAGACTAGCAGGGATCAAAATGCAAGAGGCATTCCTTGGTCTCGTAAGATTGCACGGATTGCCTAGTGAGGCTGATCGATTTCAGCTTTAAGATATACTAATATACCCAACGTACCCCGCACTGCCAGCTAGCGGATAGCTTGCTGCGCAATTTGATTGTTGAGCTTTTTGATGATTATAGACTACTTAAATGCTTCAACAAAATCCACTGACTATCTGCACTGCACTGCATAATTGTACACCTTTCTAGGCCTCTACCCCACTCTTCCTTTGCCTTTCATGGCCCCAACTCTCCAACTCCTCTTCACCCGCCGCGACTTCGACCCAGGGGCTCCAAGTGCTGCATTTGCGGATCAATGGTCCAATCCTTCCAATTATGCCTTTACTATCCTTCTCTTGGTTGGAGGTGACTTGATCCATCGCGCTCTCGCTCAGCTGGCGGGGGGTCTGACTACCCCAGTCGCCTTTTCATTTGGTGTGTACAACCAGAAATGAGACAGATCTTTTGCTTCTTTGGCTTATCCGCTTCTAAGGTTGGGTCTCCTACGCGGCGTCATCCGTATGTTCCGCGCTCGGTGAATACAGGCTTATGCCAGATGCGGACACTCCCTGCTCTGTTATCAATGGCAAGAACGGTTATGTCCGTGGGAATAACTCCTGGGTTCTTGGACGGATGATGCGAGATTATGAGTACTGGATGGGGGAGCCGGTCCGGGAGAAAACAGAGTCTCTTATCAAGGCTCGCTGGGAATTTGACCAGCAGCATGAGGAGAGAATATCCCCCGGATCGGGGAGCCGAGTGCCTCGTCCTACGCAAGCCGGATTAGTTGTCAGTATTTGGCAGCCAAGCACCAAGCTGCCGCATGGGGAGCCCGGCCACGATCTGCTTCATTGGTCGGGTGTTATTGTCACGGTGGTCCAACTGGGAATAGCTGCGATCCCATTGGGGCTTAATGGAGATTGGGGGGTCATGCTGGTCACCGCCGCGGCCATCATTCTCTGCTACAGCACTGGGGCGCTGCCGCATTGGAAGGTCGAGAAGTGGGCTTGTCGCCGCTTGGATGCTCGGGACAAGAAGAATTTCATTTTGACGCGTGGAAACGGGTCCCAGCATGCAATCGCCATCATTAGTAATGGTCATGGCTTGGACCTGGAGGACCTTGCTACGGGGTTTGCGAAGATTAACTCTCCACCGATCACTCTCTTTTCACAGCTGGCCATTATCAGTCTAGGGGTGGCATGGGTTGCGCTGCTGATCACGGCATCCGCTCTGCAAAAGGACTCATGGTACTTGATTGCGGTTGGAGGTATAGGAATGCTGCAAAATATCTTCGTTGCGGGCTGGAAGCGGGCACCAGCTGCCTATGGCGTACCGCTTGAGTTTGTCGGTGTCGTTGGCGAAGTCAAAGTTATGCAAACTTTGATGGAAGTGGAGAGAAGATATGAGAAGCTGGGGAAGAGCATGGTAGGAACCTTCTTCCCAGGCGAGTTACGAGACAGTGAAGTGAAGGAGTGGGAGGCCATCGCGCAGGAATGGAAGGAGAAAAAGGCTGCCATTGTCAAGTCTGATAACTAACAACGGTAGTGTTAGCTAATTTTTCTGAATTATTCTACCGCCGCACAGCAGACGTAGTAGCTGCCGCGAGTTATACGAAGATATGATTACAGTCAATGAGGAGGCCCGACGATGGAGGGACGTTGTACACTAGTACTCGCTCAAAGCATAGCTGGACGAGCCAGGAAAGCTTAACTATAGCACTTTTATATTAAACTACTAGTGGTACTCGCTAAGAGACCATTTTATTGAAACAAACGGTCTACTTGCGAATACGAGGGTATCTCGTGATKGTACCATCACTTTTCTCGACAGGCTGTATTCGCGGGATCCTCCCATAACCAAAACGTGCTGGCGGAAGATACACCAATTTACGCGATGGCCTTTAAATATCGCGTTCTTTTGTTGTCTCTTTGAATCTCTTCCTCCTTATACCTGCTAGGGTGAACCCAATGCCTGCTACCTCGAGTACCTGGATTGCATCCTATCAACTTCATTCAACGAAGCTCTGCTATTTCCTTTACAAGGTTATCAAAGACAAATCGAAGTCCCCCGTTATGAGTTACAGATCGGACGCCAGGAGCGAATTGTCGTAGCTGAGAATATTTTCTGCAGATGCTTTAATCCATGAAGAAGTCAGGCCTGTTGGCTCTTCTTTTCCCGCGACTAAGCAGACGCCAAATCTCGAATCTGGCGGGAAATACATGTACCTATACTCAGTGTTGAACCCACCTAAGAGGCTGAGCAGAAGAGGATAATGTCAAATGCACTCAAACCTTCGAGCTAAAAAGGTGTCAAACAAGCCTTGGAGAATTTTCGTCTGATGCAGCATATATACTAGAACATTCTGATAAATACTGCACAACCCAAAAAGGAAGGCACCCCGTGGATGGGAAAGATAGCGTGGGCGACTGGGCGGGGCCTAGGCTGTTCCAGGTTAGAGCAAGAGCTTATGCACCCCCCCTGCTGGTAATCCCGCTGCATAAATCCGGCGATCCGGAGATGCCGAGGTATATTCCGCCCTATCGTCCATTCTGAAGCTGATTAGAAATCAATTAATGGAAAACCCACGTCTCAATAGGCATTGCATTGTTACACTATCAAGCACAAAAGGTTTCCCACCCTTGAAAGTTTCGGACACTGTTTAATGCGGTAGTGGTTCCGTGACTGATCGTCATGATGTAATACGTAATGGGGCCCACCCCCCTCTACCGTCAATTCTTAAGCATTGGTAAGCGTCGCCTCGCTGTATATATAAATTCTTCCATTCTCGACGACTTCCTAAGAATTAGTACATCAAAATATATAGCAGAATCAAAATGTCTACCCAGAAAGCAGTCGTCATTACCGCCCCCAAGCAGGCAAGCTTGGTCACCGACCGCCCCATCCCCAAGCTGCGCGATGACTACATCCTCGTCAAGACCGTCAGCGTGGCCTTGAACCCCACAGACTGGAAGCATATCGACTCCCTGGCTCCTCCTGGCGTGCTAGTCGGCTGCGACTACGCCGGTATCGTCGAGGAAGTGGGCAAGGCCGTCAAGAAGCCCTTCAAGAAGGGCGACAGAGTCTGCGGGTTCGCTCACGGCTCCAACGCCGTGCAGCCCGAGGACGGTACTTTTGCCGAGTACATCGTCGCCAAGGGTGATCTGCAAATTCACATCCCTGATAACCTGAGCTTCCAGGAAGCCGCCACGCTGGGAGTCGGTATCACCACTGTCGGCCAATCGCTCTATCAGTCCTTAAAAATCGCTTGGCCCGAACAGCCAATCAAGGATGCTCAGCCTCTCCTGATCTATGGCGGTTCCTCTGCCACGGGTACCCTGGCTATCCAGTTCGCCAAGCTGTCCGGCTACCGGGTGCTGACGACGTGCTCGCCGCGCAACTTTGACCTTGTCAAGAGCCTGGGTGCCGATGCAGTGTATGACTACAACGATCCCAACGCCGCGGCGGAGATCCGCAAGGCCACCGACAATAAGCTCAAGTATGTGCTGGACACGATCTCGCTGGAGTCGAGCGCCAAGTTCTGCGACGAGGCACTGAGCACCGAGGGTGGAGAGTACACTGCTCTTCTGGTTGTTCCCATTAAGCGGGAGAATGTCAACGATCGCTGGACCCTGGGATACACTGTCGTCGGTGAGGCGTTCAAGTTTGGCGACAACGAAGTCCCTGCGAAGCCAGAAAATTTCGAGTTTGGCATCAAGTTTTGGTCTGTCGCTGAGAAGCTGTTGGCAGAGGGCAAGATCAAGCCGCACCGTCCCAAGGTTAATCCGGATGGACTGAAGGGTGTGCTGAATGGCCTGCAGCTGATGAGAGAGGGAAAGGTCAGCGGAGAAAAGCTGGTGTACAATGTTGCTGAGACCCCTTGAGTCACACCTAGTGTATTAATATAATGAAGCACAGCAATAATTCACATAATCTATACTGCTCATAGTAAGCACGAGACAAAAGTAAATGAGAATATCCTTTATCAGCATCATGTCCTTTTGCTGCTTCTTTCCCATCTCCAAGCACCGAAATCATCAATATGGATCACGATATGGCAGTAGTCGGCACATATGGGCATATTAATTTCTTCCTTTTGATCTTTAGGCTGGCAGGAATGAAGTAGGAACAAGGTTCTGCCTTGTAGCAATGGTCTCTGCAGTCCCCTTTGCACCAAGCAAACATGAACCGGTGAGTAAATGCATGTTGAAGAGAAAAATGCTTCATCGAATTGGCCTGGTGAAGTGGGAATGTCAATAGTAACTGAAGCTTATTCTTAGCAATACCCAGCAGCAAGGCCCATCCTTTGGCCTGGTGTTGGTCTTCGGTTTCGGGAGGGACGTGGCAGAGAATATATGTGGCTGTCATCGAGTCTGAAGATAACTTGACGATATGTCTGCTGTGATGCCAACACCATCAAACTATCAAATCCATCTGCTGTCCGTCAATAGCGAGTGAGGAAAAGTCCTCTTTGTCGGGATCAGTTACCGAAGTGAGAAGTGGGAAGTGAAGTGGTGATTGACCCACCCACGCCCTTCGGTTTAACAAGCCGAACATTTATCTGACCCAACAGAGTCAACTCGAACCATTATTCTTTCAACATATCGACGACAAAGTGACAAGATGGAATCAGATATTCAACTGCGTCTACGCTCAGAAGAACAATCCCTAAGCTCTATTCAAGATCATGACCACGAACAAAATCAACAGCTCCCTCCGATGGATGGCGGGAAAGACGCCTGGCTTTTCTTAGCGGCATGTTTCATGATAGAGGCCCTTATATGGGGTAAGCTCCTACACCTACACAATCGATCAATATTAGCAGACCTAATTCAGGTTCAGGCTTCTCCTTCGCCTTTGGTATCTTCCAGGACTACTACAGCACCCATGAGCCCTTTCAAGGGTCCAGCAATATCGCCATCATCGGAACATGCACAATGGTAAGAAATTCCCCACCAACGTACAACAAAAGACCAGCTGCTGATCACCGCTCCAGGGCGTCAACTATCTCCTTGCCCCCGTAAATTTTGGCATCCTCCTTGCTTTCCCGCGGTTACGCCTCTGGGCCGCACCCGCGGGTTTTGTGACCATGTCACTGGCCCTGGCGCTCAGCTCGTTCTCCAAGACCACAACGGAGTTGATCATCTCCCAGGGTGTGTTCTATGGACTCGGCGCGAGTGTCGCGTACTCGCCGACCATCATCTTCATGGATGAATGGTTTGCGAAACGGAAGGGGCTGGCGTTTGGGATTATGTGGGTGAGTTTCCTCTCCTATTGCTTATACTGTGGTACTTTTTGCTGAAAATGGACAGGCAGGGACAGGTCTCGCGGGTGTCGTGCTTCCGGTTTTACTACAATGGCTCTTAAATACGTACGGCTACCGGTTCACCCTGCGCGCCTGGGCCGTGATCCTGTTCGTTCTTGCGGCGCCTCTGCTCTACTTTGTGAAACCGCGTGTGCCTATCTCGGCGTCGTCCAGCATGCGCACGTTCAACCTCTCTTTCGTTCTTGATCGGACGTTTTTGATCTACCAAGCGKGGAACATCATCGAGGCGCTGGGATATTTCCTTCCCACGATCTATCTCCCGACATATGCGCGTTCACTGGGAGCGAATAACCTCACCGCATCGCTGACGGTCATCCTGCTGAACCTTGCTTCGGTCTTTGGGTGTGTCATCATGGGCTCGCTGGTTGACCGCTGCCATGCGACAACCTGTATACTCATCTCGACTGTTGGAACAGTGTTGGCGACGTTCCTGCTGTGGGGCTTCGCGGTTAGTCTGGCGCCATTGTTCGTTTTCTGTGTGGCCTATGGCGTTTTTGCGGGCTCATTCACGTCGACGTGGCCTGCTATTCTGGGAGAAGTGCGGAGGAAGAATGCCTATGCTGATCCGGGCATTGTGTTTGGATTCTTGTGTTCCGGACGGGGGATCGGGAATGTGGTTAGTGGGCCGTTAAGCGAGGCATTGATGGCGGGGGAGAAGTGGACGGCGGGGTATGGGTACGGCAGTGGATATGGAGGACTGATTGTGTTTACGGGAGTGACAGCTCTCTTGGGGGGGTTGAGCGTGCTGGCCAGGCCGTTGAAGTTGTTGTAGACTTGTGATTGTCAACATCCAATATCCGAGAGCGGAAGACCATGCGGGGTTGGATGACTCACGGCTATACTCTTAGCCATGACCAGAAATATATCTCAACACCCCAAGTCAGCTTCGTCAAGCACCAATTGATCAAGAAATTGGTCCGTACATAAGCAAAATGTCCAGAATAAAATTCGCCATCCTCGATGACTACCAAAACCTCTCCCGCAAGCACTTCGCCCACCTCACCTCCCGCGTGGACATCTCCTACTTCCCCGACACCCTCAACCCGCGCGACCCCGCGCAGCAGCAGCAGCTGATTGCCCGCCTACGCCCTTTTGACGCCATCCTCGCCATGAGAGAGCGCACTCCCATGGCCCGTGACACAATCGCCGCCCTCCCCAACCTCAAGCTCCTCTTAACAACCGGAAGCCGCAATCTATCCCTCGATCTCCCCGCTCTCACCGAGCGCGGGATCCCCGTCGCTGGAACCGTCGGCCGACCACCAGGCGTCAACTCCACCGTCCAACACACCTGGTCTCTCATCCTCGCTCTGGCGCGGCACATCGCGCGCGACGACGCAGCCGTCAAGGCAGGAAAATGGCAGGGTTCGCTAGGTGTCAATCTGTCCGGCAAGACGCTGGCGCTGCTGGGACTCGGCAAGCTGGGTGCGCAGGTCGGGCGGATCGCGGTCCTCGCGTTCGGGATGAAGGTCATCGCGTGGTCGACGAACCTGACGCAGGAAAGGGCAGACGAGCAAGCGACCGCGCAGGGTTTGCCGGCGGGGAGCTTCGAGGCGGTGCCGGAGAAGGGCGATTTCCTGCGTCGGGCGGACGTGCTCAGCTTGCATTATGTGCTATCTGAGCGGAGTCGGGGGATCGTCGGGGCGGAGGAGCTGGCTGCGCTGCGGCCGGAGGCCATGATCGTAAACACGTCGCGGGGTCCGCTGATTGATGAGCGGGCGCTGCTGGAGACGCTGAACGCGGGTCGGATCCGGGGTGCGGCGCTCGACGTGTTTGATCCAGAGCCGCTACCTGTTGACAGTCCATGGCGGACAACGGCTTGGGGTGTTGATGGGCGCAGCGAGGTGCTGTTGACGCCACATATGGGCTATGGGGAAGAGGAGCTGATCAATGGGTGGTATAAGGAGGCGGCTGCGAATTTGGAGCGGTGGTTGGATGGCAAGGAGCTGCAAGTCAGACTGAATTGATCATATGAAACAATGTGCATAGTGGCGCGATACATCGCTGGCCTGCATGTCATGTGGGATATCCATACTCCGTAGATTGCTAATTGCCTATCCTGATGGAGTAAATCGCCCGGTATGAAAGTCAAACCGAAACCTGCTAGAATTGATTTGCACGTGGATGCTCACCGGATGGACTAAACCGTCCTGTCAGATGCCAATCAGACTGTGAGGCTATGCAGAACCTTAATGGAGCCTAATATAGCTAGCGGACCAAGGGAACGGTGCCGTTCCTAAGACAGTTGGCAATTGTTTTATGTAGATGTAAACAATTGTGCCTCGGCATAGATACTGACCACCGCAAACAGCTCAGTCGGACCCACAGAACCACGTTCCATCTTTCCGCTGCACAGCATTCCTCGGTAGAAGGGAGGCATAATCCTCTTTGAGTTAGCTAGTGCTTATAGTAATGAAGCAAGTAAACAAATGATGCAAACTACGCCATCATCGACAGGAACAGCGGCAGGAATCGGATCACCCCACAATTCATATAAGTAGGCGGGGTACCTCACTCCCGGCTCAGGATTTATTTCTGTATATCTCCCATACATACAAATTGCCACTCTATCTACCAATATCTACCACCTCAATTGACGTCCTCGCGGGTTTATCTTACAATTTTCAAATAATTGACCCAATTGAACAACATTATCAACCACAATGGCACCCATCGCCGTCCAAGAACCCACAACCTGTACAACAACAACAACCCCCCAAGCAACCCATCCTGGCTTGATTCAAGTCAACCGCTCCCCCAAAGCCTTCGGAAGCAGCGCCTCCTCGCTCGTCTCGCTCCCGGCAGGCGCCGTGTTTGCCAAAATCACCAACGCCACGCCCTCCAAGAAGGCCTACACATCCGTCCAGACCGGCCGGGACAGTCACATCGAGCTGAACTCGGACCTGGTGTTTTGCAACCACTCGTGCGACCCAAGTTTGAACTTTGATATGCATAAGATGGAGGTGCGGGTTGTGGACGATCGGCCGTTGAAGGTCGGGGATGCGTTGACGTTCTTCTATCCCAGTTCCGAGTGGGAGATGGATCAGGCGTTCAACTGTAACTGCGGGAGTGAGAAGTGTAAGGGGTGGATTTCCGGGGCGAAGACGATGGGCAGAGAGGAGCTGGAGGGGTACTGGTTGAATCCGCATATCGAGGAGATGTTGAGGGAGAGAGACGGTCAACTGTGATGATGTGTTTGTAGAATAGAGTAGACTTGGTAGACGTTCGGGGTATATATACATTGGGATATTGGTGTACAAAACACTGCGCATGTCTATGATGCGGCTTTGCTCTTGATTGCCTTCATCTTCTGATGCAACTCGTCGATACGATCCTTCAGTGACCGGATGTCCTCTTCCGCAGGCGCCTCAGACTGATTCAGCTCCTCGACTCTCCTCTCCAACTCCCTCGATTCATCCCTCAACCTGAAGTACTCGTCATACTCGCCCTCCCCAAAACACACCCCATACCCCTCACAATAACACACCTGCTCATTAGGACAATACTCCTCCCGCCCCGTAAACAACCACTGCCACAAGTACTCCCACACCCGACCAGACAGCTTATCCTCCAACGGCGTCGCGAGCAACCACTCCCGATACCGCACATACCTCTCCAGTGCCACCGTCCGAATGCGCTCCGCACTCACCGCAAACTGCCCACAGCACGGCTGCGACAGAACGCTCGGCACCGGGTCCCCGGGGAACAGCTCCTGCCACGAATTCCCAAACACCGCCGCCTCGGGGATATTCAGCAGATCGTCCCCGGCCACCGTCGGATGGATGTGATCTGGACACCCCGGATCAAGGTGGCACCGGAGATTGACGTACCCGTTTCGGAGCACGTACTCGCTGCGCAAACGCCGGACCTGCAGCGCCGAGTCGGAGTTGAGGAAGTCATTGTTGTGCCAGGTGTACTGGTGCGCGTGCATGAAGAGCGTCACGTCGCTGAGCGAGGCGTAGTGGTCGATTATGTAGGTGAGGTAAACCATGACCTCGTGGCCTTTGTTTTGGGGGACGGTGAGTGTTGCGTTCGGGTTGTCGACGGTGTAGACTGCGCTGATGAGGTGGGGTTCGGTTTGGACGAGGGTGTCGATCCATGAAGCGTCCTCTTCTTCGAGTTTCGCGATCACTACTGTTCGAGTGAAGGGCTTGCCAGGTAATTGAAGTGATGGTGTTGGCCATGGAGAGGCGGATGCCGTTGAAGCTGTGGCATCTGTGACGACATTGTCTGGATGCCGCTGGATGGGAGTTGTCGCTGACGATCTTTGGGTCGACAGATAGAACGAAACAAGCAGGAAAGCAGTCACTGCTGCTGTAATGATCCATATCCGGAAGTGTTGAGTCTGCGCAAGAACCCACATGATGATCCCGTGCTGTGGTGTCGCGAGGAGACGGTCTCATCTCCACATGAGACAAAGCATTTCTCTCATCGTCGCCCATCTCAATGACAGATGAAGTCACCTCATGGTTGTCAGCACTAACCGGGGTGAGCGGCTAGAGGCGCGTGGGTGACGTCGTCAATTGGCCCAGCGCGATCGCCTGGTGATTTACCGTATCTGATCGCCAATTGAAGCTGGACGAGACCCTGGACGAGCCCACTTGGAGCCCATGCCAAGAATGTCCATATTTATCTTCCTCTCAAAGCCCATGGCGATTTAATTATTTGTATGAAATAGCCGCCTCTCTCGACGCAGGGACAACACTACAGAATTTAGCGCCAGGGCCATCACGAGGATACATTTAAGACCCAGCGCCATGACGGTCGCGCCAGATCTGAGATCGATGTTCTGAACGTGACGCTAGGCCTCTCTGTTCCACCACTTCTCGTGCATCTCTACTCCGTACAGCAGGAATCATGCAGTGGTCGCTTGCCTGGACATTGATTCTCACTTCTGCCTCAATCTCAGTCCAAGCCTCACGTACATGCTACCTCCCCAACGGCGAAGTCGCAATCAACGACCAACCATGTTTCCCAGAGAACCCCGAATCCTCCTGCTGCGGAGGAAGCACCTACGTCTGCGCGACGAACAACATGTGCGCCTTCTATGATGCCTCCTATTATGTCGTCGGCAGCTGCACCGATAAGACCTGGAACTCGCCGGCGTGTCCGAGCTACTGCTTCTTCCGTATCTCTTTCCTTCCTCCCTAAATTCTCAGCAGATGCTAATACGTTCAGGGGATCACATCCACAACACCGTCTATCGCTGCTCGGCAGATACCTACTGCTGCATGGACGGGCCCGCATGCAACTGCACGACCAGGGTCAATACACAGCACATCGCCGATTTCCTACCCGAGTACTCGGAACTTGTAGGCTCGTCGGTTGCGCTGAATACAACCATCGCAACAAGCTCGTTGCTGACTCCGCTCGGAGCGACGCGCACTCCGGCCACTACTACTGCCACTACCACTGCGACCTCGTCATCAGCCCTGGGGGCCTCCGGTACAGGCACAACTAGTCTTGCGACAACATTGGGAGCGATGCATCCATCCACATCGACTACATCGTCAGTATTGCCGACTCAGACAGCGGGGAGCACTAGCAGCGACAGTCTCAAGTTTGGCCTTGGTATCGGAATCCCGCTCGCAGCTCTGGCTATCGTCCTCGTGGTAGTCTTCTTGATCATGCAGCGCCGCTGGAAGAAACGGCAGGTTCTAACGGAGATGAAGAGGGTGAGATAGTCTCCACGTACAGCTTATGCTTGATTTGACCGTACAGGGCTGACTTGACATGGCAGACATCGCAGCATGTATTCTATCCGCAACCGTACCCCGAGCGACCACGACCACCGCCGGCGTATGTGAAGACGAATCCGAACGCGGAATTGAGACAGACGCATATCTTCGAGGCGCCGGGGGATGAGGGGATGAGGATATAGCTTTATGCCGACTGTATTCAGATCCTGCGTGATCAGATTGATGACTTTACATTTATGATGCGATACGAGTTTCAACATTGTAAATATACGTTCATTGTCCAGGATGATATCATCGCTGGAACTAAACATATATCTCCCTTCTAGCGAAGAGATGCAGCATTGCTACTCTCATCTCACCACTTCTTTTTTCTCACTGACATATCTCAATGCCTGCTCTTCAAACGTCTCCCACTCCATCGACCTCGACACAGCACCCGCACCACGTACGCCACTCCAGCGTATATCGCACATAACTCCGACAACCAAAATCCGACGCCGTGTCCCTATCAGGATCATCACCCTGGTAATTTGGCGTCAGATGGCATTTCGATGTGGTATTTATCTGCTAGGACGGGAAGTTTGTCCTTTGGCGTGATTTTGGGAGTTATGAGGATGGCGCAGTGATAGCTGTCGGGGTGTCTGGGCCTTGCGTAGAGACCCTATAGAAGCGGGGTCTATAGCGCTTCTTGAGGATTTGCATGATGACAGTGGTAGACTGTGGATTGGTCCTGGTGGATATTGCCTATTGTGCATTCTTCAGAAGCCTTGCAGACCGTTCATGGTGAAGTTGCCCTCTAGCTGTGCCGATTGTCGAATCGAACATGCCTAAGCCTCCCCACMCTTTTCTGCGACGTAAATTTCCAAAAGCAAACACGTGTGGCATTGCCGGTCTCATTTTGGTCGAGAAGAAGCTAATGAAGTGGTATTCTGTCTCGGAATATCGGTGGGTCGTTGCTCGACAATCAAATTGATTGGGAAGGTTAGGTTGTTGGAGAAGGGGTCAGCTCTCAAATATCAGTGGAATTCAGGAGGAGATATCTGTGATTAGCAGCAGTTTCGCCTGATGTCTTCTGACGGAGGACTTATTTTCTAAAGAAAGGACGCTGCAAAGAGTGGTCCTTGTGGATGGGAAGGTGTGGGCTGGGGTTCTTAGAAGACTGAGTCTTCAACAGGGAAAGCAGCAGCGGTACCCTGGAGGTAAATGTTTTGGAATCTCCTGCTATTAGTTGCAAGGTGGGATAGTTTTCGTAGTATTACTAGTGTAAGAGCCCTGATCTTTAAATTAATGAGACATCACGTAGTAACCTAGTTTATATATCTGGTAATGCCATAGATATTTAGCTTAGCTTGTAGCAGAAGGTGTTCTCTGTAGGTTTTAAGGACTTCATTAACCAAGTATGTAAACCCGGCCTTTATGGATTAAGGAAATACTAGCAAGGCTAGAAAGCTCTGTAATCCATGTGCATGTTAAAGCACCTCAGGTCCCATCAAGTGCCATCTAAAGAATCCGAGCTTCAGGAGGAGGGGAGTGATGGGGAAGAAGGTTTGATGTACACTGATCTTGACGATCAAAGTATGACACTTTCTTAGACACTACTCTAGATTTCTATATACTAGACAACATCTTCAATATACGTATCACATCGACACCCGATCATGCTTGCTGAGCCTTGATCCAAATATCTCTCCCCGCAACGAGTGTACTCACCACCATCGCCATGCCCACGACAACCTCACTCACCTGGATCCATCCCAAAAATACTCCAGGAATCAACAAATCACAGCCATCAACCACAATCCGCTTCATTAGGGGTCCGGAGCCCCCATCCTTCCTCTCCTTGCTACCAGCGCCCTTCTTCTCATCCTGCTGCACCTTACCCACAGAAGCAGAATCAGAAGCAAACAGTAGGCCCCACATAGCCCCGACGATCGATAACGCCAACGCGTAGAACCAGAATTTGTAGGCCTCAACGAGAACGGGCTTATTCCAGTACACGGGGTAGACTTTCATCGCATGTAGCTGCCAACCCATTAGCCCAGTGTACAAGAAAAGAGTAAAAGAGTGCGAAAACCCACGATAGTACAATCCTCCAACAGAAAATACAGCCCTAAACAAGTCCAGCGGCCGAGCTCGATCAGCGTTGTCGGAAACCCGCCAGCTGCAGAACTGCTACTGCTACTGCCGAGGAGGGCAAACACCCGCTCGAAACAGTCGAGGAAGTTAAAGAAGCGGAAGAAGCGGCGGGCTAGAGTTAGACAGAGACAGACGCATAAGTACAGATTGGTGCATTGGCTGTGATGGAGATACAAGGGACTAACTTAGCGCTAATTGCGACTTGGCGGTTGACCAGGTCGTGACTGTTTCATTGTCGATGCTGGTTTCGATAACGATTGTTGCGAGGGCCTGAATGAGTCGGAGTGTTTTCTCGAGGCCTGCTCCTGTGCGGGTGAAGTTGGAGAATTGCTTGATTGCGGAGGGGGTTGAACGGGTAGGAGGATGAGGGGCTTTCACTGCCATTGTGATGTTGTTGGCCAGTATGATGGAATTCAACTGATCAAGATTGAGGGGAAATGTTTACAACTTTGTGTTGAAGCGTAAGATTTGGCTTTATGACCTTATCGGTCCATCTCAGACCGACAATTGTCTGCATGGCGCATCGGCATCTCCACCCCTGAATGCCGACTTGGCGCTCAGTCCACAATCTCAACTAGATAACTGCACCCAACATGAAAACGGTAGAAGAACATAAGCACGCGTTTAGCAAAGTTGGATTTGCGCTTCAGAATAACTATGTCAAATGATCATCTACACATCGTTGGCCAGACAATCGCGGTCCTCAAGCAGCTGTACAACCCATGAGCAATCTACCGCCCTTTTCCCCCAGAAATATCCTGTCCCAGCCGGTACCCTCCAACCTTCTCCCACTCCACCTTCTGCCGGGTAATGGGCAATTGTCTCCTGAGGTTCTTGAACGCGCCCTCCGCCATCTGCACGAACGCACGGTTGAGCTCCTCTTGGTAGTCTCGCTCCGCAGCCGCAATGCGGGAGATGATGCTCTCAGCAGAGATTGAGGGAATGGAGATATTGATGGGCTTGTTCGTGTTGAGAGCCACATTGCCATCCTCATAGTAATGCACATCCACAAGGATCTTGCCGCTCACGGTGGTCGACTCGGACACGGGGACTTGATAGATGGAGCGGAAGCGACCGTTCCTACAGCGCGTTCCTCGTTAGCCCATGCACTTTTTGTATTGGTTCGCACACTGACCAGAAGTTGTTTGGCGAGTAGCGATTTGCAACTAGTAGGATCGCGACAGCCGTGTCGTCCTCAGTAGGGTAGACGCCGTAGGAGCAGTTCGGGTAGTGTTCGGCAGCATGTTTAGCGAGTGATTTGAGGAGAGATTTGCTGCGCTGGTCAGACCATAAGGAACCTCCACAAGAACATGCCAACCTACATCAAATCCGCGTTTTGCGATTCCAGGACATAGGATTGCGCACCAGACGCTTGCTATGATCCAATCAGCCTCCACACGCCCCCTCATTCCACCACCAAACCTACCTGTGTTACATGATCCACCTCGAACGACGTCTGACTCTCAACATCAAAGTATCGGTTTCCTTCTAACTTGTTKAATTCACTGACGATGACCTAAGATCGATTACCTTGTCAGAATACGGCCACTTGAGGGTTGTACGCAACGTCGACCCACCTCCTGACTAGCTCCGGGCAGCTTCACGGTAGCCAATTGCTTCTCATTGTACCGTTCGAACGCAGGCGCAAGAGAGGGAATAATATCCGGTTCGTCCGAGGTAAGTGCCTTGATATCTGTCGTGGACGACGTTATTCAGTAAGACGACCTGATCCGGATTGAATGTAGCTGGCCTAGTGGCCAGCTGGGAGTTCTGCGGATAGTGGGCTGTGGGAGGTAATACCAGCGACGACATCAGAGAGCTAGAAGCGTTTGATTAGCTTCGCATGCTCAACGAGGGAACGATCACGTAGATGTTGAATGGGTGGAATTGGATGCCTACCTCGCCTGGCGGGGCACCCTCGATGAACGAGGATGCGAGCTCAGCTGTGGAACCCATCACGGCAATTTCGACTTGAAAATTATGTCACTCTAAATCTGTGTCTAATATATTCGATTCAGAACAGAAATGAATACGAAAAGATCAAAGGGGACCAGCAGCTAGAAGCCGTAAACAAGGATAGCTCTGACCGCAGCTCAATTGCTTGTCAGCGGAGACGGAGCTCTAGCGCGATAAGCGGCTATCTTGCACGTGGCCTGGGAAAGTGACCGCAGCCCATCTTGGACTACAACTTCAACATTGCGAATGCTCTGGGTACCATATCATTTCAATTGATAGGACACTAGGCTAAAATCGTATTCAAGCTAAGTACTAGGTTAACGCCAATATCGGTACAAATCCTCTCAACGCCAAGCAAAGGAGTGTCTGCGCCATTTGAAGTACAAATGCACCACGCTAAAGAGCCAACAAGAAGGTTCAACTAGAGATTATATGGTATATACGAGTCCAGCTCGTGGTTGCAAGAGTCGGGAGAATTTACCAGCCCGGATCCTGGTAGAACATTTATTCAATGCTCATATTCATGAAACCATCATTGGCTTCCGTCATACCCTGTAGACCAACGCGCTTTAGAGGCCCAGAGTGCGGAGTATTGGACGTAGTTTTGGCAGGATGCTCTCCGTTCGGTCGATCTGGGAATAGCGAGCCTAAATTAGACTTGGGAGGGGGACCCCAGATGTTGTGCCCTGTATCCTTGACCGCGGGCGAATTCGGCATGACAGGACTACTCTGGACACTCATGCTCGGAGACACGGCTCTCCGCTTGAAAAGATTGGGATCAAAGTCATCTTCCCGGCGTCGTTTCCGATTGATCTCGCTCATGGCAGGAAAGCTTGCGTGTGGCGTTGAACTTGTCGATCCCGGCCGATCGTACGGTTTAGCGAACTCGGCTGTGCTAGACCCTAAAGTTGTCGACGGCGTGATATCCATGACAATATCATCTTCAGACATAGCTGATGGGCCCAATGCGCGCACAGAGGGCGGTGGTGTGCGGTAACGCTCATCAAACGTATTCCAGAACTCTGCCCCCGCAGAGTTACGATGAGCTTCATCGCTGAACTTGGGCTCATCCAGGGTAAATGAACCAGGCTTCGCAGATCCCTCTTCCGCGCTCACCCCTGGCACGGAAGGAGTGAGGGACGACAAGCCGTCCATGCTTGGGGACGTATGCGGAACATCAGGTTCGCTCTCACGGACCTGCCGTATAACCTCCGCCTCACGCTTTGCGTCGCTGTCAATAGGAGCAGACTCCTCCATAAGGGCAGCTCGGATGCGCGCAAATGTCTTTGTTTTAGGCTGGAGACATGGTTAGCTTTGATCATTGCCTCGAGCACTACACCACTACACTCACGAGTAAGCTTCCACGTCGAGTCACAGCCCGCCGAATCACACCCAAAGGCCCGTTTTCTGAAGCGGAACCACCACCCAAACTGTGCCCGTGGCGACTCTCCCCCTCATCACTCAGATCCGACAAGCGCAAATCGCGAGTCCCAAGGCTGAGACTCTCGCGACGGGCCCCAATGCCTTGCTTGGATCCAAAATAACCACCGTTAGGATTCTCAATGCTTTTCATCACTGGCGGAGAGAGAGGGCCCGGACTCTGCTTCGAGCTATTTCCACTGGCGCTGCTGGAGCTGTGTCTGCTACGACCCTTGCGAAATCGAGCCCGCTGAAAGCTCAACAGGCTAGCTGCTGCCTGTGAATACCCACCCATCCAATCGTTTCCCGGACTAGGGACGTTTCCCGCAGCAAACGGGCTTGGCCCGCCGACCATCTTGTTCGCCTGGGGGGTGCTGGCTATCATGATATCATCTCGATCACCTATCATCGGCTCGTCATCCTCCTCGCTACTGCTTGTATCCGACTCCATCATGTTCACGCTGGACACGGAACTCGAGATCGCGGTTCGGTCGGCCGGGCCGGATGTCGAGAAAGGACCCATCGAGGTTGACCCCGGCGAGCCACGCCGCTGCGGGATGGTGACACCTCGGCCGCCGACCGTTGGTGACGAATCCGGCGAAGACTCCGCAATGATCGAGTGATGTAGATTCGTGCATGCTCGGGAGAAATCGAGACCTCGTGAGCGTCGAGGGAGTACCGAGCCGGGGGAGCCGTAGATGTGCGACGAGTCGAGCTTGGGTGAAAGCGGGGCGCGATTTGGTACGGATGCGGACCCAGCTAACTTCGAAGGTAGGTTCAAAGACAGGTTCGAGTAGTGCATGGACGACCTCTGTGGGGTTTCGGGAGTGGAGGTAATGGAGTTGTCATCTTTACTGGAGGGGCGCGTGTCTCCCGAGACAGACGGTGAGGCGGAGACGGGTTTTGGCGCATCGGACAGCGAACGAGACTTATGGGGAGGGCGCAGTGGCGTCCCAAGCCCACTCGCCCTGTCTCCTGTAGAGTCAGTGTCGGTGCTGGACTCACTCTGCTCCTTGCTCTGGGACAACTGCTCGCTCAGTCTGCTCGCAAACGGCGGGACGGGGAGACTGTGCGACAGAGTCGAAGGAGGGGTGGACGACGACGACGACGTCAAATTAGACATTGAGATAAATTCGAATACGCGTCGAGGTCACGCTTGATGCTCAGATTCGAAGAAACATCATGAAGCTTGAAGCGCTGATAGTAGGTGGTCGAGGAATCGGTCTTATGTCGGTTCGCCTGTGTGGTGTCGTTGCTCGACTACTGCGCGGTGAGAGGGGGATAGGTCCTGCTATCTTCAAAATCAGTGTAATATCAATTGTGAAGGACGAGAAGAACGCAATTCGAAGTACTCGAAGACAGGAGACGTTGAAGTGATAGTCTCTAAGCGCTAGGCCCTCTTGTCGGCTGGCTGGTCGCGCTGACGTTCCTAGGCTGCTCTGGCGAATCACGCGAACTCGTGCCCCGCTTGCGGATCGGCCGCAATTGTTGGCTGCGTCGAGACTCTACAGGCGCGGGATACGAATGCAATAAAAAAGCGTTCAAGCAAGGCATTTTCAGCCAATTGACATGAGGCTCATCGCATCGCCTTCATTGCGGAATCGGAATCGATTTGTCCCAGAATATGATTGTAAAGCAATACTACCCAGAAAGCTATTTGTGAATACCCATATGATGACCCTAGATTACAGAGAAGAAGAAAAGCCAAAAGAAAAAGGGAAAAAGAAAAGAAAAGAAAAGAAATCAATAGCCGACACGTGTCTCATTGCATCATATCCAGACATAATTCACGCCAGACTCATGGCAGTACTGACGGGGGCAACATACCACTCCCAATCATTGCAGCTTGTGTGATCATTTGCTGCGTCCACAGGCGAGCCTTTCAGCATGTCACTATCCCGAGCTTGCCAGACCTTGACAATGACAGCCCTTGTGCGAGCGACATTCGAAACGCTTGATTCAGCCATCGCTGCCAGTGCTCGTAAAACTAGCGACCGTCCATATACCACAGTCTTAGTCGTAGGATCAGACCATAGTTCGTCGCGAACTGGGTCCAATTCCACGGCGGCCACAAAGACAGGCCATGTCATGCTCACCAGGGATCGGGAATCGAGTAATTCCGAGACCAGTCGTAGAATCCGTTTCACGTAACCAATGACCAAAGGGGTGGATGGAGAAGAGCCGTACAATGCACAATGAAGATAGAGCACTGCAGCCAATCGTTTGAGCTCCGCGGCTGACTTGAGCATTTCGTCTTCGTCGTCATCAATTTCTTGTACGAGAGTCTCCAGTCTACGCCCTAGGGACGCTGCACGAAGGGCAAACGCAGCCCGAGCGGAATCGGACGTAAGCTGCCGTCTCGTCCGGCTAAGCTCGGTGATGGATGATAAGATTGACACAAGTTCCGGGCTGCATCCCATCCACAAGTCGATTTTCTGCTCGCTCTCTTCCCAGTAATCTGTCCCGAAAAGAACCTCCTCACCGCAGGCAGTCCGGCCCATAACATCCTGGAAAGCGAAGAAGAGCTCAGCAAAAGCAGAGACAGGATCTTGAGATTTCCGAGACCTTGCCAGTGCCCCCTGTTCTTGTCTCCTGGCGCGAATCAGCTCCTTTGCGCCTTTCAAGTGTATCGTCCACCGCTGGTCACAATTGTCCACAATCTCGTATAGACAGAGCATCATCATAATAACCAAGACTTCAGGGTCACCCGAACATGTCAACGACCCCTCGGTAGCGAGTCTGTGGCGGAGACCTCGCAAAGCTTCAGACTTCAAACGAAGGCCGACAACGCTGTAAGACGGATCGAAGCGCGACCAATGGCATGCTCCCAGCGCTTGAATAGCTTTGAACAGGGTCGGCGACGCAGACAAGCAGAACGGGAGAATGACGGAGGCAAAAGGTGAGGCAAGTTTCGAACTGGCCGTCGTCCGCGGACACACTTGCTGCAGATAATAATCAAACAAGTGTGTCTGGCTTGACTCTGGAATATTCGGAAACAGCGACAGCGAAGCTGGCGGGCTCGACGCCTCTCGCACAAACCAGCCGTCGTCAGCAACCACCACCGACGAAGGCGACCCGACACCCCCATACACCAATTCCCTGTCCTTCGCACGGACCAGAATACCATTTAACTCATCACAGGCAACATTCACCTGGCGGGGGTTCTCAAAGGTCGAAACACCACTGTTCACAAACCCCCAGTTTTCAACAGCAGGATACTCGCACCACTCGTTCTCCTCAACCGACAACGACGCTGTCGCCGTCCCCCGAGACTCTGTGCCAGGGGTGCGGGACTTACTCCAGACACCCGCTCGACCAAACGCCAGGCCCCGGCTCAAAAACTCCGATTCCCATTTAAGTACCAGCTCCGTGGAGCATACAAGGCCCTTGTCCCGGCATCGGGAGCAAACCGGTTTCTGAGTGTCGCAGCGGACGCGACTCGCGCGGCACTCCTTGCAACCGCTGCGGGTTCGGGTCTTGACCGGACCCACACGGTCTGCAGCCTTTTTACGTGGCATCCGAATTCCGGCGTGATGGGGACCGTTTACATGGCCAGTTTCATGCTGCAAGGACCATTGGTGCGTTTGAAAGGAGATGAAGAGGAGGTTGCGGACTTTTCTCGAACCCCAGTGGCAAATTAAATCTCAAGAGTCTTGATCGAATACGAGGCGGTTTGAGCACCGGATAGACTTTGTCAAGGCGGTACGAGTATATACAGTCCCGTAATTCCCTCAAATGTCCAGTTAGAGCCTAGAGTAGATGGATGAAGGATGATGGAGTTTATCGAACATCGCAAACGGAGTCATCATTTCTGGATCGATAAGGATGGAAGAATCCGCTCCGACATGGACATCTGCCAATGAGAGCTCGGGATTATCACCCCGCGGGGATTGATTATGCCTCAGGCATTCACATACGTTTACAGCAATGGCTGATTTCAGCATACATCGCGAACCTCAAGATAGACCGTAATATATTGACATGCATCATCATGCTCATGACCACGTCCTCTCGCCAAATGTCTCATTCAGACCCAATTCTCTCCAGGGTGTTCCCTTTGCGTCAACTGTCCCGCTGTTGACGGTATTTCCCCACCAACTCAAGCTGACTCCGGGAAAGATCAGCGCGAAGAATATCAGGATTGCGGCAACAGCGACACCAGAGTCGAGCGCAGCGGACAGCACGTAGTTGTACTTCGCCCACCAGTGCGGCCTGCGGCCTTTGATGACCTGCCGGCCATTAGTCTTCATAATTTGCATCTTGTCCAGAGAGCGGAAGCTCACCTTATTGAAGAGGAAACTGACTGCGAAAGCAGTTGTATAGTTGATGCCGGTCTAGTTCATACCAGTCAGCTAACAAGTACCGTATTTAGGAGACAGATTCATACCGCTGGTGGTAGATTTCCAGTGCCTGCAAAGAAGATCGGCCAGTGGATTGCATCGATGAAGCGTGATTTTGGGAACCTCTTCCGAATAAAGTACGTAATGATAGGAAGCGATGCTCCAATCCAGAACATGTGCAAAAGACCAGAGTACCTCTGGCCGATGTTATACAGTCTCTCGGGTCCAATGGCTGATTGAACTCGTCAGTCCGTGAATGTATAAAAGAGATCGGCAACGACATACCACCCCAGAAAATTGCACTGTTGTAATTGACTCGGCCTTGCGGGCAGGTAAAGTTGTCAGGCTGATCGCTTGAGCATACATCTTTCACGTTGCCAAGCATCCATATCAGGACACCATCTGGTAGAGAATGTCATCAGCAAGCGTAGACAAACACTGGTGTTCGAAACTCACTCTGGGTTAGAGTTCCAAGTATACAAGCGACAAGCTGGGCAACAAACAACGTCCGACGCGGGATCTTCATGTACAATCCGAGCTGTAGACGATATGTTAGCAGAGTATTTCAGACGTGAGCCTTATGGGGACAAACCTTCATATCTGCACCATAGTACATTGCTTGACTCAAGCCGGTGTATGCGTAGAACTGAGGAATCATAAGCGAGTGCTGGCAATGAGGAGCGTTGTATTTGTGTTTTACCTTAAAGATAAGAAGCACAAGGGGCTTTCCTTTCAGCGTATAACCCGAGATAATCTCTCCCAGCACTGTCAAAACATTACTGTTCAGATTGGCAACGGCGTACACGGTTCCGACTGGGATCACATAGATTGCCGCAAGGGCAAGGGTAATAAAGAGACCCCAGAATGGAAGCCCTGTATGCCAGACATACTGAGTCATGATTGCTACCGCCACTACGATAACCTGTCGGGTGTCAGCTTCTCCCGGGAAGATTGCTATAACGCTTGAACTTACAGTCAGGATTCCGAACCACCACCAGGGAACGTCGGGGTAGCGGGAAAGCAGTCTTGCGTGGATATCCTTTTTGTTTTCGCCCTTGAATGTGCTAAGGATATCCTTGCTATGGTACAGCAAGACGTGGGTGATCAGACAGCTGAGAACAGCAAAACCGAGTCCATAGCTCAAGGCAAAGGTCACAGGCAGAAAGATCGGACTGTATTCGCGATACTTGGCCTCGTCAATGGCGCCGCTCGCATCCAGAATTCGGCTCGAATTGTAGGGTTTGCCAGTATTGTCGTACGCATCAGATCCGGTCAAAGGGAGGTATGCAGTGAACCATGTGTTGGTGTAATAGAGAATTGGGGCAATCACTGCATACACGCAGAACCAGCCGGCGAACACGTTTGCCTGTGCCCAGAACGGCATGACCAAGGGTGATGTATTGTAAGCAATTTGACTCCAGTCAAAGGTGGTGGGAAGATATCCCAGTCCGGTCGACATTCCGAACAGATTGTTAAGTACTTTGTTGTCTGCAAAATGACGTGTTAGAGGACATTGAGCTCTTTGGGAGAAATTGAGGACATACTCGGAGCGGCCCAGCAAATGAAAGCGAATGTGCTCAGTCCAGTGAAAATGTAGCCCGGGAGCCAATACCAGCAAAAGCTCCCAATGAAGACATACAAGAAAAAGCGATAACGAGAGATCCTCCATCCGTCAGCGATCGGATTCGCGCCACTATGGAGTGTCTGAAACAGTGCAGCATTCGCTAGCGTGGAAGGCCAGATCTGTAAGTGGTCAGTCTCTTTCTCCTTTTGGGACAAGTACTCTACATACCATCTGAGGAGGCTCAATAATATATCGATATGATAATCCAGCCAGGCCAAGGCCAAACAGTTGCATAGACAGCGCGAGCAAGATCTGGTAACCAACTGGGGTTGGCATATTGAGGAAGACTTTTTGTGCTTGAATAATAGCACTCGCCTACTCTTTGTCAGGGCCGCTCTCTTTGCTCCAAGCTCGGTTATCACTCACCCATGACTGGTTGAAACTGAGATTCGACATAATGGTGATCACAGCATGCTCTTTGATGTTGAAATGGTGATCGGGATTGATGACTAGATCCCACCGATTGAAGAGACGGATCTTCATAATCGGCAGTGCCTTTGCAAAAAAGCACCCTACAGGATAGCTGACCAGTTGCGCCACGAGGGACGTGATGGTCACACTCGGATAACGCATTGAGAAGAACTGGTTGACCCCCGTACCGATCTGCGAAGATGCCTCAGTCAGCAGGGACAGCATAAATCGATAGTTGATGAAGAACTGCGCTTACCAAGGTGAATACCACCCCCAGAAACCACATTCGGAATGTGTTGATAGGTAGCGTAGGATCATCGGTGTTGGGCACATTGGCCCGGACTTCCAAATAGGGCGAGTTATCCGAATCGATCGTATACTCGACTGTACTGCTTTCTCCAATGGCAATTTCCATGGCCTCTTCAGCCGTTATTGGCTTTTTTGAGACGCCATCATCGCGCAATGATGGGTCCTCAGGGCAAACTTCCACATCGGCACCCTGTGACTGAATTGGAGCCATGGCAGCTGGGTCCAACAGCGATATCTCAAGATACTGACCTTTGCGAACGCACAATGGTGAGGGAGAAAGAAAATATGAAATTCCTCGATGAGAATGGTCGGCCTAAATGGTGGCCATTCGGTGCATCTTTATACCATGGCCAGTCTCGTCAATATTTCCCGATAGTTATAGTCAAGATGCTATATCGCGGGGCGAATTGAGGAGAACCCCAACCTCAGTAGAGAAAAGATAGGAAAACTGGTACACGGAAGGTCCTACCCCAGAACTACTCAAGGCGTTGATCGGGTCGGCATGAACCGTAGTGTGGGGAAATGAAGCGACAGACGCCAGAAGATCCGAGATTGTTGGTGATTGATTAGGTGCGACCAAAAATGTGTTCGACGCCACTGACCATTCACGAGCAATCAGAGAGTCAGGTAAGGTCCAAGCGAGAGACCAAGACGCCATTTGCCGGGATGTTGGCCAAGGTTATCAGCCGGCGCATCCTAAACTCTTGGTGGGCTTGTCTAGGCCCTATCATTATTGGCGCATGCTTTAGGGTGTATTCACAAGGGTTGACGACCATAGATAGCGTTTCAATGAACTGATGCGAATAGCCAGGAATGGGAGCCATTGTTATCTCTATTTGGATGTTGTATCAGACAGTCCTATCAGTCAATCATGCTTGACAACCAATTGCAACCACAGTCAATATGGGATGGAGGACTTGGTGGAGCAAGATACCATCCTCGGCCGCAATCCGAGGCCGAAACAAACGGATAAGCAAAAAGCAGCGATAACCATGGCCGACTTCGGGTTGGATTGATTCAGGCTAAAGACTGCTGGATCTTTTACTTAATTGCACTGAGGCGTTAATCCGAGTTATCAAGTCAGAGTGGAGTATTTTGGGGGTCACCCGGATGCTGTACGCGGGGAAAGCTACGTATTCAATTTGATTGGGTAAAGCGTTGTTATGTGGTTCCGGACAGTCAGAGCCAGACTAACTCAGACAGCTGATAAAGAGCGAACTTGTCTATAAGACAGCAGATACTTCGCGTGGACCTTCCTGCATGTAGTTCGAATACTTGCAACAGATCAACAGTTCAATGATCATGGCATGATCTTTCTATCCGCCGTATAAAGCTGGCCGTCATGGTATCTGACACCCTCGTTCTGCGACTGGTCTGATCAAAACAACAAGTCGTTTCTTTGACTTTCATGGTGCGATTGGTTTCCTCAATAATCTCGTTTTCATACTCGCCAGTACAACGTCATGGCAGTCACGAAGTCATCTTCCCTTTTGATCGTGGGTGCGGGCACCTGGGGCACATCGACCGCTCTCCATTTAGCACGCAGAGGATACACAAACGTGACCGTTCTAGATCCCTACCCTGTTCCCTCGGCCATCTCGGCTGGAAATGATGTGAACAAAATTATCTCCTCGGGCCAATACAGCAACAACAAGGACGAGATTGAGATTAACGAGATTCTGGCTGAAGAAGCGTACAATGGCTGGAAAAACGACCCCCTGTTTAAACCGTACTATCACGATACTGGACTGCTCATGTCTGCCTGCTCTCAGGAAGGCTTGGAACGTCTTGGAGTCCGTGTCAGGCCCGGTGAGGACCCCAACCTTGTGGAACT